CGCCATCTCTCGCTCTCTCTCTCTCTCTCTCCCCGCGAGTCGGCCTCCTTTCTCTCCTTCCTTCTCCTTGCAATTGTGCTCTTGATTTGCCTCCACGGCAGGATTCCCTGAACCAGCCACCATGGCTGACATGAAAACGGGCGTCTTTGCAAAAAATGTCCAAAAGAGACTGAACAGGGCGCAGGAAAAGGTAAGCGAGGATGCAGAAGCTGTCAGCGCAAAAGCGGAGTCTGTGCGCTTTGGGATTTCCGAATCCGCGGCGTTGGGGAGGAAGCGTACTAGTGCGCGGGCAGAGCGGGAGGAGGGGGAGCTTCCAGCAGAGCCTTCAGTAAATGCGGGGGACGGAGATCAGCGCCCGCGGATCCAGCTGAGAAGGAACGCACAGAGAGCTGCACGTCCACGCCGAGCCAAGAGACGTGCAAAGGCTGTTGCTGGAGCGTCCAATCAGCTCAACGAAGAAGCGCTGGAACGGCGTTGCAAATGCAAACGCCGAGCGCTTCTGTCGCGGTTTCAGGGCAAGGCGGCGGCGACTGCCGGCGTGGATCAGTGCCAGGCCTTCCATAGCTAAGCTGCGGCCCTCCGTCCGAGCCGCTCTCTGGAGACTGGCCTGCAGAGAGGGCATATGTACCTGCATTGATTGGAGCTCTCCTGGGTGGGGTAGAAGGCCGATAGGGCGAGTAAGGGCCAGGTGTCTGAACTGATCGGAAGGACACGAGCCTTTTGAGTATCGAATCCCCCCACCACCACCGCGGGGGAAGGAAAAGGAAAGGCTTAACAATATATCGAGGGCCGCCTGCCCTTTGTTGCCCCACTTGCCTCAATGCCCTGCAGGGCCGGTTAAAGGCGGCGTTGCGTGTCTTTCTGCGAAAAATCAGGAATCGCCGGGCACCGTCAGAAACGGCGGTCCCTGCTTTTGTAAAGAAAAGCGCCCTTTGGGGAAATGGTTGAATTCAGGGACGGTGGTGCTGGGGAGCGGCAGCCCCGAAACACCGGCGTGGATCTGATTCCTTGCGCTGTTTGTGCGCCTGAAGTGCGTCCTTTATTCGTGACCGGAGCATAAATAAGTCCTGGTGAAGAGACGGTGGAGCGTGGAAAGATGCTTCCCTCCCCAAGGAACTTTTGGTTATTAGCTCCTCTATAATTACCGCGATGTTTTCTCCTCCTCCTTCTGCTGGCGAGTTGCCCTCACCAGTGGTGTTATGTAATATCCCCTGGCCCATTGAATGGTTGCCACCTTGAATGAAGCCCTTTTAATCAGAGGAAGGCTGCAGGGCATCACTGGGATCCCGGCTGCCTTGTACCTTTCCATCACTAACCCGAGAAGTATGTATTATTAGCTACCCCAGAAAACACACAGTTGCCAGTAGTGTGCTGATTGTCTGGGCCTGGTGGTGGGCCTGGCTTCAACATCTGGGTTGTGCATTTGGGGTTAGCTGGTTGGGAGTCAAAAACAGTTTGACAGGAAATGGTGGCTCCAGGATTTTGCAGCCCAGCCCCTTGGGCAATGTAGCCCTAGTGCAGTGTTGTCCAAACTTGGCCACTTTAAGATGAGTGGACTTCAACTCCCAGAATTCCTCAGCCAACCATGAGGCCCCTAGAGCTGTTACCATCCATTTTTGAGTTTGCGAAAACAGATGGTAACAGCATCCATTTTCGCAAACTCCTGCTGT